TGATTCGACAATGATGTTTGCACTTCTTCATCATATGGGAAATGATGGGATCTCAAGCACCCCTCTCGTACTACCAGGCAGTACAGTGCAGTGAATGACATGGCTGGAAGAAAGCCATGCACGCTGAGATTGCGCAGCTCGGGAAGCAAACTTGGAAACTGGTTCCGCTTCCAGAGGGAAAGAAACCGGTGAAGTCGAAGTGGGTTTTCATGAACAAAACGGACGCACGTGGCAATGTAAGTCGGAAGAGAGCTCGGCTTGTGGCGAAGGGATTTACCCAGAGGTACGGAATTGACTTTGAAGAGGTTTTCTCTCCAGTGGCAAAGTACAGTACAGTTCGATTCATGTTAGCATTTGCGGCACAACAGGACCTCGACTTGCCGCAGCTAGACGTCAAAGCCGCATTCCTCAACGGCGAACTGGATGACGAGATATATCTAGAACAGCCTCCTAGATATGTCAGTTCTAATTTCTTACTCACGTCTATAGGCTTCTACGTGCCCTATACGGACTGAAACAAGCATCCAGGGCCTGGCACAAGATGATTGACGCCTACCTCATCTCTATTGGAGTAAAGTGTTCAGAAGCAGACAGCACAATGTACATTCTCAATGTAAGAGGAACCACTGTTTTCATACTTGTGTACGTGGACGATATACTGCTGATTGGAAAAGGAATAGAAGTACTCAGAACTGTAGCCCAGCAGATCGGTAGCCGCTTTGAGATCCGCATCGAAACAATCATCTCCAAGTTTCTCGGCATTATCATAGAAAGATGCAGAGAAAAAGAGGTTTTAAAACTGCATGCAAGTCCCATGGTGGAACATTTGCTTAGGGTATTTTGGATGCAGCAATGCAGGCAAGTCTCCAGTCCCCTACCGCGGAGCATCTACTTCGAGAGGTGCGATCCAATTGAAAATCAAGAACTGTCAACAGCGCAGTCCGAGTACCGGAAACTTGTTGGATCGCCACTGTGCTTGAGTAACACGACTCGCCATGACATCTCCTTTGCCACAGGCTACTTGTCAATATTTTTAGACTACTGTGACGAGCAGCATCTGCAAGCTGCAAAGAGGTTCCTGAGGTACCTCGCGCACACTCGCACTATGAGAGTGCAGTATGTCAGGAGTGATACGGCCGGTCTACATGCATATACGGACTCAGATTTCGCAGCCAACAAGGAAGATCACAAAAGCGTGAGCGGATTTGTGTTCAAGTTTGGCGGTGGCGCAGTAAGCTGGCGCAGCAAAAAGCGATCGACAACAGCCCAGTCAACCCTAAAGGCCGAATTTGTGGCAATGTCGTTTGCAGTGAGAGAGGCCATATAGATGCGGCGCCTCGTACGGGATTGTTTTGAGCAAGAGGAAGCTATACCTCCTACAGTCTTGTTTGGAGAAAATGAAGGAGCACTGAACCTGGCATATACGGACACTTCCAACGAGAAAACAAAACACATTGCTGTCAAATTCTTCCTGTGTAAGGAGAAAGTTGCAGATGGATCCGTTGTACTAAACTATATACCAAGTAAGGAAAATCCTGCTGACATCTTTACAAAGTCCTTACCTGTTCAAGAGCACAAGCACTTGGTTCGAATGATAGGCATACAACAGCACCCTCAAGCTAATCGGCTAAACAGAAGAGTTTCGGATGAGGAGGAGTGTTGAGGATACACCTGTACACCTCAACTCTTCCTCCCTGGTTCTAAGAAGGGAAGACGTAACATGTTATCACTTTCCTGTGTTGACAGTAAAGATAGAGTGGATTCGGTATACTATATCGATAGAGCCATTGACTCCGGGTCCGATTATTAATCGGACCCGGAG